TAAAAAAACCTCAACATGCAATTTTTAAACATTCTTTTTCTTTTTAGTGCAGATAGTAAAGCAAGAAGTTTACTGTTATTACTATTGCTTCCTAGACTAATGACCAGTTGATCATGCAATTAACAGGAAGGATATGCAACTGCTGAGATGCATTGGGCCACATTTTGTCAACACACGACTTAGTTAACATTAAGCACGTGTCCATTTACTCATACATATATTTGGATTTAATAAATTCTCTATTAATCCCATAAAATGTACACTAGCACAGAAGAAAGATAGGCTTAACACCTTTTTCTTGAAGATTTCATATGCTGCATGCTGGTCTCTTCCTAGTTTTGCTGACTTCCTGGGGGTAGTAACCCCTGATTTGGATGTCCCCTCTCCGCTACTATTCCAGAACCAAACAATTAAAATATAATCCTTATATCTCCAGGATTTAGTTTCTAGAGTTTTTGTTTACATTGATAACCTGAACTGAACATTACATAGACCCTCGGGCTCATAGTGGACAGTCTTGGTAGGTCTCATGAATTCAGGCAATTTCAAAAGCAATGATAGATATATTTAAGGTTTTTTAACAAAACATCTTTACATGTAGTGAGTCTATCCTTTTCCTGATGGGATTGACCATGAAACATATAGCCCTAGCCCACATCCCTAAAAGGATTTCAACAGTACAAAAGGCAACATGCTTTGGGAAACTGAATCCTGCAATGGGTATATTTGATAGACAGGAGTCTGTTGGTAGTGACACCATTTTGATGGGAGACGCCATCAGGCTAAAAAGGACCATAACCAGTGTCTGGCGGTAGCATATAGAGACAGAGGACAGGCAAGGGGCGGTTATTATAGTTATCATGTTGGGTTTCATGAGGGGCAAGGTGTCATCAACAAGGTTTGGCAGGGCTGAAGCAGCTACTAAATTCTACATATCTGTGATATATATCCCACATGCATGCATGCACACATATTAAACAGAAGCAACCACATGGTCAAAATTAGAAGCTCTGGAGGCAGAATGCCTGGTCTGTATTGAATCCTGGTTCCAAAACTTGCTAGGCACATGCTTTCAACAAATAACTTCACTCCTTTAACACCTCATTTTCTGATCTGCAAAATGGGGAGTGATAAAGACACACACTTTACAGATTATAAGGATTAAGTACAATAATCCATGTGAAGCACTTACCACAGAACCTGAAACATCTTCAACATACAAGTGTGTTAGGTACCACTATTTCTATCCTTAAGTGACTGAGAAACACATAACTATGTTTTATGAATGGTATCCTAATTTCATAAAATTATTCTTTTATTTCATCTGTTCACACAACATTCACTAGCTACCTTCGAATGTACCAGGCACTGTGTTAGCGTTGGCATCTCATGACTGGAGAGTGCTCCAGGTTGGTTCATTCTAGACACAGGTTGCATAAGAACTTTAAATGTGTACAGTAGGGTTTTTTTTTTAAGGTGTTTTAGGGTTTTTTGTGTGCTTACTTTACATCGATGTGCAGGCAGAAAAATGACCATGTTATAAACAAACAGCTTGATACATTTTACAAAATGAATATAAAGGTAATCAATAATAAGCCCCCCAAATTATTTCTCCTGTACCCTCCTTGACCTAGTGCAGCCTCTGTCTTGACTTGTAACATCATAGTTCAGTTCTGCTTTGTTTTATACTTATATAAATGTATAGTACTATATTACTCTTTAGTATCTGGCTTCTTTCACTCAGCACCATGTTTACGATTTACCACATCCTTGCATATATTGCATAGAATGAATTTTGTAGCATTGCTATATTAATACTTTCCATATACCCATCTCTGAACAATTTCATCCATTCTGGGAAACATGCTTGGGCATTCCAAAGTTCATAACCTAGATGAGATGAGGGCAAATGGCTTTGTGTGTATAGACTCTCAAATGCAAAAGTCTTGGAAAAGACAGATGCTACAGGAAAGGCTGGCCTTAATGAACAAACATTGAGGGAGCACAGAGGATTATGAAAAATGTTCAAGGGCCAAAGCAGATGAGAAGGCAATGGAGAGCACTGATAAAAAGCTCAGACTCAGGAGTGATCATTAGGATTCAGGACTCTCACACCAGGCAGACCTGGTTTTCCCAAATCTACTACCTACACCAAGCTATACAAGATATCTAACCTCTCTAAATCAGTTTCCTCCTCTAGGCTAAAATCCACTTCAGAGAAAGTTTGCAATGAATAAGTTGGAAATGATTGCAAAGTCACTTGCACATAATAAGTAATCAATAAATGCTAGATATTGTTACTAAGAGATATGGTTGGTCTACTCAGGAAACTTTGATTTCCTTTGAGAGAAGAAAAAAACTGCATACACAAAATTACTTGAAAACATAATAAAGCAGTACAATGACAAGTACAAAATAATAGAACAAAATATGCCAATTTGGTAGAGTGTACATGCAGTGAATTCCAGGAACACTATATTCTAGTCTATGTTTTGCCATTAACTAGTTCTTTAACCATGCACTTGTCTTTATTTTCTCTCAGCTTCCATTTTTCTTATCTAGAAAAGAAATGTTTGGCTCCAAATTCTAAACACTTCTTCAGACTATAACAGGAAGCCAGATTAAGGAGTCATTTCTTGAAACATGGTATGGGGGCCTTACTAGACTTGTACCAAACAGTGGGAGAGACATTCAGGTGGAGGGAATGGGGTGAGCAAACATGGAGAGAAAGAGATAAATTAACTTGGAAGAAAGAGGGTAGGTAAACAAGAGGGGAGCAGGGTAGAGAAAAGCACACATGTATAGTCAGCCATGTCTGTCCATCTGTGTGTGTCCTGTTGGTTACTCTCTCTCCCCGTCTCTCTTTCTGCACAGCTACTCACACCCCCACCTTCCCAGGACTTGCATGCCTCACCTCCTCTCACTGTGGGATTTGTAATCACAGAAAAGTCTGCAGACTAATCCGTGGGAATTCCAGAGCCCTTTGCAGCTGCTCTAAATTGCTCCATTAAAAAATTCTTAGTGCAATCTACATTGTAAAACTTCATGTTTAACAACAAAGTGAGCTTGCAGCAAGCTGCCCATACAATGAAAAGCAAAGAAAACTTCACAGCATTTCCAAGAGAGAGAGTTATTCCCAAACCATTTTCACATAGCTTTTTCCTGCACAAATAACTCCAAAATGGTGAAGTTCATTTCTTTTTTACCTATATTACTAAATCACCTATTTTTATCATTGCAAATTGTATTTCCAGACTTTTGCTGTCTAAAGATAAATGTCCTATCTGCATATTAGATTTTTTTTTCCCCCTAGCATTGCTAACCATGTGTCTCTGCTCAGGAAGTAGCCCAACTTCCACTTAGAAAATAATTTTAAGAAAAGTATGGCTGCTATTTCACCAAGGAGAAATATCATAGCTTCACTGTACCAAAGGGATATTCCTTTGTTTCTTTTTCTATCTTCTTCACAGTGGGAAAAGTGGTGATTTCAGAAACTTCACTGTCAGAGTAAGTCAAACCTCTGACTACAGTGGAGAAGGTTATAAGAAAGTAGTGCACTTAGAAACCACCTAATAAAAAAAACTAAGAACAAGACCAAATTCTGATGATAAGGCACCAAGAAAAGCCTTCACATTCATGCTATAATCACTCACAACAGCCTGAAACAACACTAGAGAGGAGATGGAGCCTGAAAGAACACTAGAGAAGAATCATTCATGCTGATTTTTTTGGCCCACAAGGAGACAGCCACCTGTATTGAATGAACACAAAATTGAGAAATGAAGATTTTTAAAAATATAAAGCAGTTGGGGCACCAATACAGTCCACTGCCATTATCCGTTTGCTTCTCTGTCTCAGACTTTTTAAAAACAACTATGATTATTTTCTCTGTATCCAAAAAACCTAGCAGATAGTTGGTAGAATGAATGAAGAAATGGCTAAAAGCACTGTCCACACAAAGCTATCAAACTTTCCAGAAAGGGATAAATTAAGCTAAAGAAATGCTGTCAAGTATGAGATATAATTATAAGTAATTCTACCAAGGAAACACATCATTAAAAATATTGATCTACCAGCCTGGCCAACTTAGCGAGTCCTTGTTTCTACAATAAATCAAAAAATTTGTTGGGTGTGGTGGCACGTACCTATAGTTCTAGCTACTTGGAAGGCTGAGGCGGAATGATCACCTGAGACCAGCAGGTGGAGGCTGCGGTGGCTGTGAGCATGCCACTGCACTACAGTCTGGGCGACAAAGTGAGAATTCAACTCAAAACAAAACCAAACAAAACTGATCTACACAGGCTCTGTGGAAGCAGTGGAAAGAGCGTTGGTGTACCCATTTAACTGATTACCTGAACTTTGGAACTCAACTCACTGCTTGCATTTTGGCCATATGCTGGTCACTAAAAGTACCACGAGGAAGAAAAGAAGCATGGTCCCTAGCTTCAAGTGTTTCACCAGCCTGGGGAGGAAAGTCAAACTAATAAAGACACTCCATAAAACAGTGTAATGGGTTTATGACAGGGTTACGGATAGGATAGGATGGGATGGGATGGGAATGGGATGGGGTTCAGGGCACCACTGGAGCTCCTGGCAGAGGGCACCTGATTCTGTCTCAATTAGTGGAGGAAGATGAGAAGACTTGAAGGAGTGGCATATCTAAAGATTTAAATTTCACTCTGAATCCTACAAAGGCAAAGTAGATTTAGGATTTTAGGCAGAGGGGGACAAGGGAGTGGAAGGGGGAACAATCCAGGCAGGAAGCATTACGAGACAAACATCTGAAGACAGAAAAAGAGAAGGGGGGCTTTGCAAGGAGAGGGTGCCATGAGGTTGTGGGAGAGACGAGGATACAGAAAGAGCCAGAATCTTTCTCTTATCTCAAATATATATATAAATATTTTTTTGTTTGTTTGTTTGTTTTGTTTTGTTTTTTTTGAGTTGGAGTCTCACTCTGTCGCTCAGACTGGAGTGCAGTGGCCGCTCCCGGCCACTGCAACCTCGACCTGCTGGGCTCCGGCGATCCTTCCTCCTCAGCCTTCCAAGTAGCCGGAATTACAGGCATGTGCTACCATGCCCGGTTGATTTTTTTGATTTATTGTAGAGATGAAGTCTTGCTGCCCAGGCGGGTCTCGAACCTGCGGGCTCAGGCAATCCACTCACCTCAGCCTCCCAAAGGCGCGGGATTACAGGCTGAGCCACCGAACCCGGCTAAATATATATATTTTAATTGTAGTAAGAACACCTAATATGAGATCTACCCTCTTAACTAATTTTGAAGTGTACAATATATGTCTGAGATGACTAAAAGTTAACAGCATCCCTGTGCTTCACTGTTGCTGATTTTTGGCCCCATCTGCCATTCCAGAGATGGGTCATTGTGTTTACAGGGCCAAGATAGATCGGAATGGGAATATTTTACCTAGTAACTAGAGGGTATGGCATATACTCTCTAGAACATCTTAAATGCACAATACATTATTCCTTAATTCCTAGACCAAATAAAGGTCCCTAACGTTTCCATTGAACTAGTCATTAGAAAGATCATTTTCCCTCCATGTGTAAGGTGATGGGGACTCATGGAAGAAGCCAACCATTTGACTGTGAAAGCTCTGTCTCCCATTCATTTGTTTTCATTCCTCATGCCATTTGAGTTCAACTTCTGATAATCAGATACTTCAGTTGCTCTGACTGCCAAATGGATATTTTATTTAAAGTATGTTCTCATTTTCCATATGACTATGCTAGGAATGGAAACATGAGTGCTCCGTAAACCCCTTAATTAATCTTGGAGAAGAAATGTGCATGAGAGCCACTTAGGAAGTCATATATTTTCCATCTCCTTGGACGTTTGCAAAGTGCACACTAGCACAGTGGTTACATCATAGGTTCTACAAGCGGATCTGACCAGGGTTAGCGACAAGCCTGTGGGCATGTCCCATTCCGATCCATCTTGGCCCTGTAAACACAATGAGCCCTCTCTGGAATGGCAGATAGGGCCAAAAATCATCGCCGTAAGTGCAGCCTTCCTCGTCTGTAAAATGAGAGAGCTCAGAACTACTACAGACAGCTGTTGAGATGATTAAATGATATATAGACTCAAAAAGTATAGACCAGTGACAGGTACACGGAAAGTACACACAAATGATACATGCTATTCAAGGTGAATTTGTTTTTCTCTTAAGAAATATTGCCTTTCTCTGGAGAAAACAAAATCATTTTTGAGGTAATATGAGTAGTCTTCTGCCAATAATTTGACCACTGTCTTATAATAAACGTTGTGTATAATATGGAGGATCAGTAGCTTCAAATCAAGAGTCTATACATAGAAGCTATCTGTTTATATTAGTTTCCTATTTCTCTTAGTCCACATTTGTAGTTTTCTATTCATACGAGCACACACTATCCATATCTGCATGATATATTTCTGGGATTGCCTCTACATACACAGTTTAGAAATGTTGGAGCTCACATAAATTATACAGAGTTAAGAACTTTTAAAAAACAGAGCTCTGTTTCTATAAAGGAACAATGGTTCTTAAGTCATTTAAAATATGACTCAAAAACACAGCTAAACCTGAGGTTATGTGAGGTATCCAGGGGACAGCATAAGTGCCTATTCCCTTTTACAGTATTTTTAAATTCTAATATCTTTTGACTAAATAAGGACTACTTGTACAAGAATCCTGAAAAAGATTTGAAGAAGTTTACACAGGTGCAAACCACAGTATGACACAATTGAACAACAGATACTAAATATGAAGAAGAATAAAAAGGATGGAGAACTAAGAGGAGGGGAAAAGAGGTGTTAAATAGCAAAGTATATGTCAAGAAGTCCTCTGAACCTAACAGAAGGAGGCCACAACTCTGATCGCCACATATGCAGGATCTATAACTTACAGATATACTGGTTACTCAAAGAAGCATAACCTTCCCTTTACAGAACCGTAGAGAAACCCTTCTCATGGGTCCTAAGAGAAAGGAAATCTGATGTATGATACCCACAACAACTTTCTTATAGTAAACACAATGATTAGTGTTTTTTTCTTCTATTTTGTTTGATGCTCCCAAATAGTCAGATGACAGAACACAACTCAACCCAAGAAATTCTTTTATGAGCCAAAAGGATACAGTCTAGTATAAGGCTTTCCATTAGCTTATAAAGAGTCATCTCTAGAAGAATAGATAATAATCACAAATATGCCTTTCAGAAGACAAGAAAATATGATCAGATGATTCCTATACCTCTTTGAGAATTCTTGAAATGTCATTTGTGTGTTGGTTTGTATGTGTGCTTTACCTTCTAGAATCATAAACTGATGGTGGTTAAGACCACTTCAGTGAGTTTGAGTGACCTCAATAACATTAAAGAAAGAAGGATAACCCAAGCACTCTAAGACTGGTAAGAATGACTGTACTTAGCCGGGCTCGGTGGCTCAGCCTGTAATCCCGCGCCTTTGGGAGGCTGAGGTGAGTGAATTGCCTGAGCCCGCAGGTCCGAGACCCACCTGGGCAGCGAGACCTCATCTCTACAATAAATCAAAAAATCAGCCGGACGTGGTAGCGCATGCCTGTAATTCCAGCTACTTGGAAGGCTGAGGCGGAAGGATCGCCGGAGCCCAGCAGGTCGAGGCTGCGGTGGCCGGGAGCGGCCACTGCACTCCAGACTGGGCGACAGAGTGAGACTCCAACTCAAAAAAAAAAAAAAAAAAGAATGCCTGTACCATAGAAATTCTACTTTTATTTATACACAGAAAAATATAATGCTAAACAAAATAATGCTAACTGGAGGTAGCAATGACAATTCACTATAGTGAAATGAACAGCAGAATACCAATCTTGGGCCCTAGATGACCTTACTCTGTGACCATGGGCGTGTCATTTAACCTCTCTGGCCCTGTATTTAATCACATGTTAAAGTGTGGATGTTGGGCCAGTCGTAACATTCAGCGATTAGGGAACAAGCCTTTGTTCGACACACAGAATCAGTAATATGCATCCATGCCTCTTCTCTGTACAATGAGCCCCTACTCATAATAGACTGTGGGACAAAGTCATATGTAGACAGCTGATGAGGAATTTACAAGGTTCTTAAACCCCTCCTCCCTTTTCTAGGGGAATCTCAAGAGTGGAATGAGCAATAATGAAAGTCAAAGGAACAGGGTTAGACTTCTGTAGGCTTTGAATCAAAGCATCCCACTTTAAAATGGATTTTAAAATATTGAGGAAGGGATCCTCATCACAAGACAGTACAAATCAAAGCTGTCTGCATATGTGATGGTGTTATCCATTCAGATGGGCTGCAATAATAGTCATGAATCTCAGTTCCCATCCCCCAGCTGCAGCACCACCAGCCTATCCCCTATTCAGTCCCGCTCCAGGCTAGCAGTCGAGCAGACTAGTTAAAAGACAATTAGTCCAATTTCACATTCTCTAGCAGCCGAAAAATTTCATGTTATTTCAGTCACAGTGGATGGATGCCAAGTTCACTGGAAGCAGCCCTGCTGATTTATCCAGTCCATTTTAATACCTTAGAAATACTGTTAAAACATGGCTGTCCTAATTACGCAGGGATCAACGCACAGTGTCCCTCTCACCCAGGATTCTCCCAGAAGGGCTGCAATCAGCTGCATTCCCCTTAATTTCACCATGCAATTCCAACTAATTTCATCCTAGTACAGGGCTGTCAGACAACTCCCATGCCTCTGCGGTTTTAATCGATTAGCTCAATGTCTCTATAATGCATCACCAGCTGCCAGGCACAGAACTGGACGCTTTGCAAGCATTTCAGCTAAAAGACAGTTTAATTACTACACCAGCATCTCAAAGGCACAGGCACAAAGCCTTGGAATCAAATTATTAAAATATTTGGTGTCAACAAGCCACTTTATAACTGCGCAAACAATGACAATCCAAGAGATGAAAATAAGGAGAAAGTCAGTTTTTAAATTGTGAGTAAGCTCTAATATATTCAAGTAGATAGACTGGCATCCACATTACTGTTTTTCTAAGGCCATTGTGTTTTTTGACCATTCTTTTGTGGCATATAAGGACATTTGGAACATTTGACAGGCTTGGAACATTATGCTACAATGGAAAGGACCGAGGTACTCAGAATCAGCAAGAAAGAGTGAATGAGTCACAAGACTGATTACCCGGTGCTCACAAACCATGGATTAAAACAATTAAATTTGACCTCTTATTCACTCATTTCTTAACTGTCAAAGCTCACACAAGTAAAATTAAAGTATGTGTGGTCAAAGCATACTACTAGATAAATAAATTTAATATTCAAGCCAGAGAACTTTTAAAAGATATTTAAGTTAATCTGTTTATTAGGACATGGTTTTTGTACATTCTGGGTAACAAAGAAACCAGAAAAAGTATGATAAAGAGAAAAAATGATCTTAGGCATGACTTAACTGTTTAAAAAGAATGGTGTCAGCCAGGCTCGGTGGTTCAGCCTGTAATCCCGTGCCTTTGGGAGGCTGAGGTGAGTGGATGGCCTGAGCCCGCGGGTTCGAGACCCGCCTGGGCAGCGAGACCTCATCTCTACGATAAATCAAAAAATCAGCCGGGCATGGTAGCACATGCCTGTAATTCCGGCTACTTGGAAGGCTGAGGAGGAAAGGATCGCCGGAGCCCAGCAGGTCGAGGCTGCGGGGGCCAGGAGCGGCCACTGCACTCCAGTCTGGGCGACCGAGTGAGATTCCAACTCAAAAAAAAAAAAAAGAATGGTGTCAAAATAAGCAATAAAAAGAAAAAAATTTAAATTATCTAGTTCTGAAGTATCTGTCACAAAAGACTTAAAGATGAGGATCAGTTAGGTTTTCTAAGCCAGCAGAAATTCAAGAAATCTAGCATCTCCAGGGCCAAGAGAGGGTGCCTTGTCTTTGCCCTCGTTGCTATTCTTCCTTCCAAAGGTCCTACATAGTCAGAAACAGAAAAAAAAAATCACTGACTACAAAATAATTGGTTCTCAAAAATCCCTCCGACAAGAAATGTATCCAGTTTAATTATCAGAAGGAGAAT